CCCGTGCCTTGCCTTCACCCTCTTCCCCGCTACCGTCCCAGACCCGAAGTATGTGGGGGTGAAAGTACCGTTCCCGGGCACTGGTGTTTACTGGGCTACAGCTCTGGTATCCCAGTGCTGGAAACTGACTTCTGAAGTGAGGGTAAAGCGTTCCCCGCTGCCCTGAACTGAACTGGGCCTGCAAAGAGATTAAGGCCCAGCCTCTACCTAATCTTGCTGGGGAATGTGGGCAGAGCTTTGGGGCTTCTGGATAAAATGAGACAGGCTTTATCCTGGGGAAAGGGTTCCAAGCCACAACTGTGGTATAGAGGGAACCTGATGAGAGGGAGAGAGACATACTTAGGGAGATACAGCAAGGGAAGCCTGTGCAAAACAGTGGATGCATATCAGAAGAAGGTAGGCTACTAATGCTCTTTTGGGAGAGCTGAAATGTCTCAGCCCTGGAGGACTGCAGCGCCTGGATTGCTGGGTAATGGATGTCTAAAGCAGTGTTGGCACCTGGAGAGATGTCACCTGCTGTCTCTGTAGGCGGTGCAGTTCACAAGCTGTTAAATCTCACCACCACAACAAAAAAATACTTGCCAGGACAATTCTGTTACCACAAAGGCAGATGTAACATTTTAGTGTGGCTGGTTGTAGGGTTTTTCCTAACCAGCTCAATTTCTTGTCGGGTTGTCTGTGACCACAGGGCTGCCGGCTGCCCTCCCCCCCCCCCCCCCCCTGCCTCTGGAGCTTACCATCCTCTACAACTCCCTGCTTTTTACTATGGGATCATCTGACTCTGCCATCAAAGGAGAAGCAGAAGAAATACACCAGGGGCTCCTCAGGGGTAAGGAGGTTGCTCTTTCCATGGAGGCTCCTTGGGGTGAGGAGAGCATTCTCTGTGCTTTGGAGATGTGTGGTGACTGGCTGGAGGCAGGGGGGCTGTGGGCAATGAAGCCTGGGTCTGCCAGGGAGGGTAGGAGGTGCAGTGGCTTGTGGCCAGGGAGGATGTGCAGCTGCCTGGCTGTCTGCCTACTGCTGTATGCAGGGACAGGCCAAAGGTTTTAAGGGAAACGAGAGTTTTCAAAGTGTGAGGTGCAAAGTTTCAGTGACAGTAGAAAATTAGTACTTTCTTTAATTATGGTGTGTTGGCTTCAAAGAAAGCTCACTGAAACAGACTGCGTGTCAGCAGGAGATCTGCAGTGTGGGCACATGCTTGCCCAGGGGCAAGGGAGCTCAGGAGGACTCGTCAGAGCTGGAGTCATAGTTCCGAGCCGCATGTG